TAGTTCACCTCCTCCCTACCTCTGCGACGTCACAGCATTTAGAAAATTTGGTAGCAGGTCACGCGGTACCATCCGGTGGTTGACTTTTCGCGGCTGTTTCATGTGTAGTATATATCTCCCCTCCCCCCCCCTCCCCTCTACGGCTCGATTCGATGAGGAGGGACGGAGGGGGAATCCACTCCCAAAAAGGGGAGGGGGTCGTACAGACTCGACTAAAATCTCCAACCAATGATGTTCCTGCCGTCAACTGCTCAACCGGGGAAAAGGTAGGAAGAAAGGGAGAGTTCAGGGAGGCACGTGGGGAAGAAGGGTCGCACCCTAAGAGGAAACTGAGAGGGTCGTACTTTGCAAAAAGTTTTTCCCAACGGCAGGACGTCAGGACGTGTTCTGTATGGTAAGGCTAGGTGGAATGTGAGGGGGAGCGGGCATAATGCGGACGATCTTACTTTTCCAGTACTGCCACGAGCGCCTAGCCTAGAAATCTGGCTGTCGATTTAACACGGCTACAGGACCATCTGCAGGATATTCCAATGAAAATATCAACAAAAAAAACAAAAAAGGCAATATAAGACGTATGTTTACTTTTTTCGTTGAACATTTTACACAGAAGCGTACATCGCAAACGAATCAATCGGGACCGACAGTGCTTTATACGATAACATTATCACCATCTTCTTCGTGATCATGAGTCCGACTCCGACTCCTCCGAACACAACGCGGCGAGTGGATCTCAGAAATTTTATCTCAATTTCGGGTGGGTCACACCAGTTCCGAATTCCATGGTATTGGTAGTGCAGGGAGAAATCTATAGACAGAAAAGGGCTGCACACAGTAGGCGAGGCGGCGGGGCAAAACAGAAGCGTGAGCGATGTCGCCGTCGGAGTGTTGGCGGCGGAAGAAGTCAACTCGGAGAATATTCAGGGCAACAACAAGGTAAGGACACCGGTAGGAGATAGCTCGACACACCAATTATGTACAACTGTCCTCACACGGGGTACAATACTCTAACAACGGTGGGGATAGGGTACGGTATGGGAGATGGAAGGGCGATGATGTTGGTGGTGGTGGTGACTATGGGAGGCAAATGTGCGCGTGTGTTTGTGCTTGACGAACAAAATGAGTGTAGAGCCACAGCTACCCACCCATCTTCACGTCGTTTGAACAGTATAGAGATAGATTATGACTATATATGCAGCTTTCTCAAGGCTATCACACTATCGCAGCGCGTGCGCTCTTTGGAATACTCTCACCTGAGAGTTAACAGAGACACAGTATAAGAGAAATAAGAGACAAAAGAAAGAGATGTACGGAGAGACAAGGACGGACGGCATGGTTCTTCGTGGCTGTGGCTGACTGACTGTGTAGCTGTACAGCGCGGCTACTGCACTGTGCAGCAACCACATTTCCTCTTCTTCACATGAACCAGCTCGACTTTGCCTGCCGGTGGTAGATCGTCGGCAAAATCACCGGCGGCGGCGGCGGCAGCAGAAGCACTGCAATCGCACAATTTAGATAACTCTATCTCAATATAGTGGCACCTTTTTGACGATTTCGCGATGATGTCGGGACACACTACTGCAAGGCACATCATCGTTGTGGAAATCACCAGGGAGGGTCACAATGCTGGTGGACGAGGGAGGGGGGAAGTGGAATTTGTAGGTAAGGTTTTTCCGTTCGTTGATTGTTCCTGTACCAAACGCTCTACATCCAGGACACGCCATCGTTGATCACAACGGGGGGGGTCGTATTTGACCGCGAGGGGGGGGTCGTATTTGGTCTGAGAAAAATTTTTTTGATAGTTGATTTCTCTTGTTTCACGGACGCTATAAAGGGGGAGGTCGTATTTGGTCGTTGTTGGGAGAGAAACTGCCAAAGATCAATACAACTACTATTTCCGATAGCTGGGAAATTATTTCGGAGAAACTGGTAGGAACTTGGGGAAACCTAGGAAAGCGGTAGGTACCATTGAAAGGGGGGGGGGCGCATTTGAGGGTGGAATACGGGGAGGGGGGTCGTATGTTCCAGGAAATGATCACAACGCGATTGCGTGCCCCGCCTACATCCCCTTCTTTTGCGAGAAAGTTTCGGAAAAATCCGGTTAGATGGTAGGTATGTTGTGAAACGGTCCGTAGTGAAAGGAAAATTTGGGATTCTTCCAGAATCCTCCCGGCACGATTATGTGCTGTGCACTACCAAACGGGGTACATCACACATATGGGGTCGTTAACGCAGGAGTGAGGGTTGTAGTTTGCATGGTGACAATTTTTTTCGATAGTCGGCTTGATGCCATCAGCCCTTCACTGCCTCACTCTTGC